GTTACAGTCCGCAAGAGTGCAGAGAGAGAAGAGTCGGCCCATGGCTGCAGTGGTAAGCAGGCGCCATCCATCCCGCCCATTCGGATGGCTGCAGTGGTAAGCAGGCGCCATCCATCCCGCCCATTCGGATGGCTGCAGTGGTAAGTAGGTGCCATTCATTCTGATCTGCCCCAAACATTACTGCTTTACGCTTTTGTCCTCCCCCAACATAATTATTACTAAGGCCCCCATCACACCTATTTGGAAAATTATATGGCCACTCTGTAGAGGGCATAATCAGGAAGTAGACGGAGACTAATTTAGAAAGATAAAACTGAATAGAGGCTCCAGGAGGACCTTGTGCCAAAGAATGCAGACTGCACTATAAATATTGAGATATCATTAAAGGGTTAATAGCATGCATTTGAGGACCAAGCAGCATTTACACTCACAGAGAAGTACAAATATTAGTTATGAGGGGTTTTGCAGTAACCCTGGTAACATATAATGACAACCTAGACCAGGAAGGTGGCTGTTAGAAGGAATAAAGAAGAATAAGAAAAAAGAAAAGAAGAATAAGAAAGAAACTATAATTTAGCTAAGATGCTAAGATGTTGGCAATATTCCCTGTAAAAATCCAGTGAATTTTTTTGGCTTTGTAGACTATAATATCTCTGTCATAACTAAGTACAACTGTATAATTCTGTCTCTGTGGCTGCAAGTATCTATATGCAGTGCATAAGTTTGAGTAAATGTGATGTAATTTGATGATGGCATCAAAATTAGAATATCATGTAATTTTCATTACTAGGTTAATTTTATCTATTTAAAATGTAAAAATAAAAAATAAAAAAACCCAAAACCACCCTATATAAAAAAATAATGGGCCAGAAGGCTTTGGTCTGCAAATCCCTGTCTAGCTAGACCCCATACTTGGATGTGTTCTTCACACTGGTGTTTCTGGCCTTAAACCAAGTATCCCATCACAGAGGACAGTCCCATTCAGCTATAAAATAGCTGGCTTATAGTGACACTTTGTTTTGAAGAAACAAAACAAACAAACAAACAAACAAACAAACAGACAAAAAAATCACCAGCTTTTTACTCTTGGCCAGAACTGCAAAGTATCTCAGGTAATGGAACCCATTCACAATTATTATTTTTTCTCAGAGAATAAAACACTAAGCACACTGAAGTCAGTCTGAATACCCAGTCTGTGTTTAATTCAGTATTTAGGAACGGGTTCAAGGGGGAACTATGGGAAAATGATTCACCTGTTAACCTCCTACGGAACATATCTCGCATTTGACATGCTCTAACTCTGTGTAAATCATGTTGCAGTGTTTTATACTAAAGTGAAAGTCTGTTTGTTCAGAAGCAGGTGCTATGCAGCTGTCTTAGCAACACAGAATCAAATAAGTGATTCAAAGAGTACCTTCATGGGTTACTTATAACTTTCCAAGACCTTTCATTATAACATACATACATACATACATACATACATACACACACACATATGTATTTCACATATATGTTGAAATTCCATCTAAATTATAAAACCAAAGATTTTTTTCCCTATAAATGCCACTGTGAAGCTACGCTTCAACATTAGTATTCACTTGACAAGCAGAAACAGACAGCCGATAGGTGACTGATGGGCATGTAAACAAATTCACCGAGGTTACCTCTGTATCTCGGAGCCTCTAACCACGTCAACATTTGCAGCATGCCCGTCTTGCTACTGCTTCCTGCTTCTGTCCATCATTAAGCCACAGAATTTTGCCTATTCTTTCCCTACTCTGTTTACACATTAACACTGCTAGGACTTTGCTTCCTCCTTCCCTCAAGTGTGCAAAAAGTAATGTCCACCTAAGACTCTTGCATCATAACTCATGAAAAGATGGAGAAATCAACAGTGCAAACAGAGCCTAAAACTTGTATTTTCTTCCACTTTCAAAATGGCAGCAATATGTCAGGTAATATCAAATAAGGGACACGGGACCAGAACCATTTCTATCCAAAGCTTACCTTTAAGAATTAACTATCCCCAAGGTAGGCCTTACCCTCCAAGGAGTAGATGGGGAGTGGGAAGGCGGGAGGTGGCAGGGGGAGAAGGGGAGGGAAGGGGAGCTGGGGTTGGTATGTAAAATGAAAAAATAAATTTTTTAAATAAAAAAAGAAAGCCAGCCAGCAGAACCCTAAATAAAAAACAAACAAACAAACAAAGAATTAAATATACCAAACTGCCTCAGAATACTCCGAGGTTTTCCTTAGTCCAAATCCTTACTGGGAATCGTTCAGCAAACTTTAATTCTCACTGCACGAGGGATTTAACTTTATGGAAGATGAGCAGGCTCTGTTTGAGGACAAAGAGAAAGACTACCAATGCCTCCAATCAATTAAAAAAAAAACAATTCTTGAGGCAATGGAACCTAGAGTTTCAAGAATGTTAACAAACTATGCCGTCCCCAGACTCAAGCTCAGTGTTAAAAATTCAAACACGCATCCTGATGGCACTTAATATGCCATCGCTATTACTTCCCTAGAGTTAATATGGTAACTTTCCCGTGTGTGTGCAGTTCTCAGAGCACCTCTCATCAGACGCTGCCACTCAGTCACTGAAACCCTCTCCTAACACACTCACACACACTCACACACTCACACACTCACTCACACACACTCACACACACACACACAATGTGCTGTAAAGACAACGGATTACAGCAGGTAGCTCCCTCTTTCCGGGGAAGGGTTACACACATGTAGTACTGAGATGTGACTTCGTGGTACTTGTTCCAGCCTGCTTGGGATCACCAGTGTGTTTGCGATACCCACTCAAGATCCTTTTCTGTCTCCAGCTACTTCCCTAGGGTAGTAGATTTGTCCATACAAACTGTATCCAGCAAACCCCAAAGTTCAAAGTCAAAAGAACTGGGCAGAAGCCCAGCTCAGCTGCTTATAGACAGTTTGATCATGAACACATTAAATTCTTGGAACACCCAGGTTCCATGCCCATATGAATAACAAAACCCTCACTCTCTTAGGGACTACTAGAGGATATTAAATGAATTACGGTAAAGTACTCTCCCAAACAGTGAAAGGTAGAAAGGACTGAGCTTTAACTAACTCATCGAGATTGGCATAGACTACAGGCCCATCAGTTTTATTCTCCTGGGCCAATGGTATGAATACACTCAAAAATCTAGAAATAAAGTAGCATGAAGGAAACGTTAGAGAGGAGAGACTTAAACAAAAGAAAGAAAATTGCAATCAAATGTGGGTGAAAGAGAATGAGGAATGAATTGTGCCATCCTAGAAGCATACCAACTACGGTTAGATTCTGCAACCCAAATGTTAGCAGAGAGGCCAATGCTAAATGTATAGTCCATAAGGCACTGTATTACCGTATTTCCTCACTGAGAGGGTTTTGCTAGCGATACCTGTTGATCCAGGGTCTCGCTGTGTGGCCCAGGCTGGCCTCAGGTTTGCAGCAATTCTCTTGCCTCAACCTCCTAAATCCTGAGATCACAGGTGCATGGCGCCACCAGTGCAAGCATTTTGCGTCCCCTGCTCTCTAGACACCCAAAATTGAATTCATGGATGATGAATCCAGATTATACCAATCACTACTTAAAGTGGAACAACCCTACTAATTTCAACAAAACATAAAAGGTTAAGATGAAGGGAAACTAAAACCAAACAATACAAACACCAATAGTGGTTAGCTCAAGTAATGAAATTAAAGATGACCTGTTTTGCTACATTACACTTCTATACTCTCCTTTAATTTTTTTTTTTTTACAATGATAAGCTTTGCTTGGTTCAGTTTAAATACGGGCACAAAAGAACACACCCTTGAGGCTGGGCACTTTTATTTGATATAGACTTTATACAGAATTCAGTGCACTGAGATTTTCCTTGTGGACCTGGGAGTGAAAATTTGTCTAATCATCTTTATTTTTAAGTAGACTTTAATGAAGGTATGGGCCTCAGAAATTCGAAAAAATCAAAAGTCAGTGTTGAAATGATTTGTTTAAGATCACTCAAGTAGTAACGACTTCTGAACTAAAGCCAGGGCCATGGCTTCTAATTCACTGTCCTCTAATTATGCTATTTGTTGGAATTATGCCTTTTAAAATTCCAACACTATCCCGGGAGTATCTACAGTGTGTGAGGTGCTATAGTAACAGGAAGATGGGTAAAACTTAGTTTCTGGATTCGGGGGAGACAGTTTTAGAGACAAATTAATATGGCTTCTACCTGATGGTGAAATGTAACAGTTTGCTTTTAATTTCCTTCTGGAGTCTGAATTCTGTTAGCTAATTCACAAACTATAAATCCTTCCTAATTAGGAAAGGGGGAGAGGGGGATCATCCCGCAAAACCTATTAATAGTGAACTTAATTACGATTTCGTCTTTCTTTTGACCTATGTGTAGTGAGATGCGGGCTCCTATCCCCTACAACAAAAGGAATTACACTTTTTGGACATGGTGGTGGTGGGGTGTGTGTAGGGGTTGTTTTCAGTGCTCCCCTGAATCTGCAACTTGGCTCCAGAGATCACAACTTAGGAGACCTCTCTGCCTTCCGTGGCACTTTCCCCCTTCCCCTTACTAAACTTCTAAGGTCAGGTCTGCCGCCACTACCCACACTCAGTGCAGAGCCCTGCTTCCCTCCAGGGACTCCACCAGCCAAGACGATTTGCCACACCGAGTCTGAGCCCTCCAGGAGGTAGAGTTCAACAACCTTCCTAAAAGCCACCAGCACTGCCCGTCGGTCCATCCTCCAGCTGACAGAGCTCACTGTTCCTGGAAGATGCATTCTGAGAAAGGGACAGCTGAGCCCTGGGGGGGATCCGTGAGGGTCGCCGCTTGAGGGGACGGAGCGGGCATCACATCCCCACCAGATACTAGAGCCCGGCAGGACAGGAGCTGGCCTCCGCACGACGGAACACCATGCCACTTAAAAAAAAAATAGAAAAGAAACTCCCGCAACTGTAACATGCTACCGCGAAACCACTCACCGGCAAAGAAACCAACAGCAGCCGCTCCTCAGCGACTCCGAGCCGCGGACGCCAGCAAGGATTCATCTCTATCCACCGGCACCAACGCTCTTTTCTAGCCCAGCAGCCAGACTGGGCAGGACCGATGGCGCTGCGGATTGGAGGAGACAGTTGTCACTCACCGACGGCCCCGCCCTCCCGCCCCCTACCAGCTGGGGGTTCTTTCCGTTTTCCCAAAGCCCTCCGGTAAGAAGGGAGGTTTTGATTGGTTTAAGGAGGAGACGGACGCACAGATAGACCAATCAGATGGTAGTTTCGACGTGGGTGGGCGGGTTTTGGCCGAAGCCGGATGGCCGCTCTGCGAGCGGTTTGACGTTCTGGAAAGCTTGAGGTGTCGAAGGGAAACACCTGCCGTGAAGAGCGGGCCGGCTGAAACGTGGAAGAGATGAGGTGGTGCTTCTTTTAGTCAGCGGATATTTCAGATGCTACCTGGGCCGTCTTCAGGGCAGCTCGGTGTTTATGCGTTGTAAATAGAGATTAAAACGAAAGTGTCCCATTTGTAGACGGCCGTTCATTCTAGTTTTCTCCTAACGTTGTGAAGGGAGGAGAAACGAACAATAGAAAATCCCAGAACGGGACGTGGCCAGTGAGGCGGCACTGAAGAGAACTGTAAACTTGGAAAACCAGTTTCTGAAGAGAAACCTGTGAGAAGACCAGCTTGTCGCTCGCTCGGCGCTGGCACCGGAGCTGGAAGCTTCTAAGTGGGCTTAAATTGCTACGCAATGTTTGAAGCATGTGTGTCAGAATTGGGAGGGTGATGAGGAAGATAAATGGTATGTTTGCCTGACAACACAGGAAAATCTCCCTTCTCGATTTCTAAAAGCTGTTCTGCCTAGTATTTAATGTCTCCGGAATTTTTCCTAGTTAATCCAATAAACAAATCCAGTAAGTTTGTGACCAGCTGACAGGTTCTCAGATCAATTATCCATCCATACATTTAGGAAGATAATCTTGCCACACGTTAAACTTCTGTGGCACATTATGAGCTGATGACATCTACTTGTAGCAAGTTGTATGCCCCACTTACCCATTTTAGCACATGAGAATCGCTCCTGGTGTTTCAAAGAAGAAGCATTCGAGAAGTTTCAAAGCCTGGCAGCTCCTAGCAATGATTAGCCATCTTCAGTAATAGTTGTAACTTGAACAAGATTTAACTAGAGTTCGGGGTGCGAACACCTGGAGGAGGTGGCTTCCAGTCTTAACGAGGGAATGCAGGCTCCCAATCTTACACACTTGCCAGCCTGTTCTTCCTTTTCTTCATGCAGATGAGGACAGGTGAGGCAGAAAATATTTCTACTGCAATATCAATTTCTACTGTAATGCCAAAGTTTTCTATTCAGGAAGGATGATGGCAGCCATTAAAAAACCAATCATTAGAAGCAGTCATTCACAGCTGGGCAGTGGTGGCGCACACTTTTAATCACAGCACTCAGGAGGCAGAGGCAGACAAATCTCTATGAGTTCAAAGTCAGACTGGTCTACAGAGTGAGTCCCAGGACAGCCGAAGCTATCCAGAGAAACCCTGTCTACACAACAAAACAAAACCAACCAACTAACTAACAAAAAGCAACCATACAACATTTGACATTTAGGGATATCAGAACCTAAAAATGCCTACTCATTTGATATACTTTGATGTTGTTATGAATACTCAATAATGCTAGATTATCATATAAAACTTTAACTATCCTTTTCTCTTAGACTTATTCCCCAGAATCATTAGCATATGTATTTTATATCAGAGAAGCAGTTTTATCAGTGGTTCTCTTAAGTAGGAATTAAAACAGCAAATGTTTGGAGCAAGCATGGTCTTTGTGACACGAATATTAATAGAAGCTAACCATGTCAGGAGTCACTGCTGTCGTGGCAGGGTTGTTCTCATGGTTATCTAGATAAGAATATATCCTGGGCCTTGTGTTCTGATCTGTCCATGAACTGTTTTCCTTGGGAACATTAAAAGACTGAGTTTGTGCTCACAAAGATTACCATAAACCCATTTAAGGCAAAGATGACCTTTAAAAATATTAGACTAATGCATTGCTTCACAGGGACTCCCAAAGAAACCCATCCAGTTCTTTGCACAAATGAGTAAACTTAAAGTGATTTGACAAGACATAGTTAAGTATTTACTGAGGATTGAGACAAAAACCCAGTTTCCAATTTGTAATTCTTGGAAATGCTTTCTTCCCACACCTTCCTCTCATAAGCAATATATCCCAGTCGTGAGGAGTTAATTCTGAGAGATGATTCAGCAGTTAATACCACCCTTGCAGAGGGCCTGAGTTCAGCTCCTAGCACCCATATCTGGTGTCTCACAACTTCTGTAACTCCAGCTCCCGGAGATGAGCATCCTCTCCTGGACTCCATGGGCACCTATATTTACATGGGCACATTTGTCCACATAACTAAAACACAGTAAGGAAGCCAGATGTGGTGATCAATGTCTTTAATCCCCGTACTAAAGAGGCAGAGGGAGGGAGATTTACGTGGGTTCAAGGCCAGCATGGTCTATGTAGTGAGTTCCAGGAATACCGGTACTATAGTGAGACCCTGTTTCAAAAAGAAAAAAAAAGAAAAAAAAAAAGAAAAGAAGAGTAGCAAGAATGAATTTCAAAAAACTTAAAATGAGGAATTTCATTTTGGTTCATTTCAACTTTGGTGTAATCTCACTTTCATCCAAATGAAAATAATAAACCATTTTAACCCTGTTGCCTGTCTTTATTGTTTTCATATGTTGAAAAGTCAGTATCAGTCCATTGATACCTTGAGAGCTGTTCCATTAACAACCTGATTAAAGAGCCACTTTACGGTAGCATAGTTACATGGTCAAAATAACTTCACAGAGGCCCTAGCCTTCCAAGTGGGACTAAGCTGGTTCATGAAACATACAAACATTATCCAATGACCTTTATCTAGTTTAGCAGATAGTCTGCCTTTATCTAGTTTAGCAGAGCCATTGTCTTTCTCCGGTGAATTACAGAGTGAGTCCTCTATCCCATGTACAGGACTGTCTGCTTATCTTAACATCGTGAGCTGGCTGTTTGCTGCTGGTAGTCAGTCAGTCTCCCACCAACTCTGAATTTTCAAAGCCAGGTTAATCCAGTGCAATGGGCCCAAGTCTGCCCTCTATCATTGACCCAAGTACAGGTTCCCCTTTCCTGAACCTAAAGAGTGTGTACACACATGTTGCCAATACCCAGGGTCGTCTGCCATCACATTCTGCCTGCAGCTTTTCAGCAGCTTCCCGATAAGTCTCCCTGATCTGCTTTTCCTCTTGGGGACCCAGGCTGGTACTAGCAGGAAACCTTTGTGAATCTCCTCTCTCCTCCCTCCAGCTGAGTGAGAGCAGTGCCTTTCTGTTGTCCCTCAGAGAGACCTGCCTTTCTCCCTATGTCAGGTCATCACCCATTATTTTCTCGAGATTTTATGTATATACTCAGTGTTTGCCCCAAAAATGCCTGAAAAGCATATAATTCTGTTTATTTCAATTTGGTTTTCTGAGTCAGGATCTTACTATCTAGCCTAGGCTGGGCGGAGACCTGCTATGTAACCCAAGGTGACCTCGAACTCATATTCCTCCTGCCTCAGCCTCCCAAGTGGTGGGATTACAGGCAAGTGCTACACCCAGCCTTGTTTTTTTCTTTAATATTTACCTTTTCCAGATTTCTTAATTATAACTGTGTATTGAGCACAATGTAATAATTTGATACATGTATACACTGTATCATGGATATGATGGTAATATTTCTATCCCTCTAAACATCATCTCTTTGTGTTGGGATCTTTTGGTCTACTTCAGTCTGGTTCACTACAAAATGTATAGTCATTGTAAAGCAAGGTCCCTTTACTGTTCTGTAGAACAGTGGGACTGATCCTACTTAACGATTTTGGTAGCAGTTCCTCAAACCCGCTGTATCCTACCTTCCCTTGCAAGCCTTCAGTAAACCACTGTTTTACTCTCTACTTCTGTGACATCAACCTTCTTAGCTTCCACGTGTGAATGAAAACTTGTGCTTGCTTTTCTGGTCCCGGCTTGCTTACTTTGTATACATAGTATCCTCCAGTTCCCCTTCAGCTTCCTCGTTTCACAGCAGAGAAAAAGGCATAGAGTGTGCGAAAGCAGTAGGTGTAAAGGCAGTTAAAGCGGAGGGTAAGTTACCTGTCCCAGTTTGAAGAGTAAATGTAGATGTATTACTGGGAACTAATCATGATCCACTAGAGAACAGAAGTAATGATAGACCCAAAGACGTGCAGCCATGTCGGGTGTGCACTCCGGAACCAGTCTGCCTCGTTTCCTGAACCTAAAGAGTGTGTACACACATGTTGCCAATACCCAGGGTCGTCTGCCATTACATTCTGCCTGCATAACTGTATAATCTGTGGCAACTTGTTTCACAGCTTCCTCTCATTTGGTTATAAAATGGGCACAATAACTTTAATTATCTCATAAAATTATGTATTTAAAGAATATCTTCTTTGCATGACAGGAACTCAATAAATTCTAGGGTTTTGGTTTTGGTTTTTGGTTGTTTGTGTTTCGAGACAGGGTTTATCTGTGTAGCCCTGGCTGCCCTAACTTTTCTGTAGACCAAGCTGACTACAAACTCACAGAGATCCCCCTGCCTCTGCCTGCCGAGTGCTGGGATTAAAGGCATGCATCATCACCACCATCCAGCCAGTAAACTATAGCTTTAAAAAGTCTCAATATAGGGGCTGAAAGGATATCTCAGTGGTTAAGAGCCTCTGTTGCTCTTGCAGAAGACTCTGATTGGATTCACAGCACCCACATGGCAGATCATAGTCATCTATAATTCCAATTCCCGGGACTTGGCACTTTTTTGACATCTGTAGGCTCCAGTTACATATACAATGCACAAACATGCAGGCAAACACTCATACACATAAGATAGAAATCTTTTTAAAAATGTCTCACTGTAAATAACCCAGTACAACTTCTTACATATATTGTCAAATCCACCTGGTTGATTTTCTCATTTTCTTCTAGGAAAAACAAATGCAATGAGCCACTTGGAGGCCGTCCAGGGCAGCAGATGACTGGTCCGAGCAGATAAGGTTTCAGGGGCTATGTGAGTGGAGACACATGATTAGAG